TCCCCCGGCCCCTGACAGGATTTCCCCCCACCATGGCTCTGAGGAGCATCTCGGGGCTGGGGCACACGTAGGTGATCGGGGGCAGCCCGGGGCCGGGGAAGCGGGTTCCTCCCCCGGAGAAGGGGTGCTGGAGGAGGAGATTTTAATATAACGTGTTTGGTTACGTTGGGCCTGTTGAGGAGAGCCGGTGGGGTTGTTGGGGAGTGCCGCTTTTAGTAAGGGATGAGGTTGTAAATGCTAAATTCACAGCTGGAGAACGCAAGCTTTTTAAACTTTGTTTCCATCTTAATTTTTAGTATACTGTAAACATGGAGGTATTTAATTTGGCGGTCATCTGATGTTGATGTACTGCAGCAAAAATAGATAAAATTCATTGCTCTTCTCCACAGAGCTAAATCTGTTCCAGAAATAGTTGTGATTGCTCATTTATTTATTTATCTGGCTTGCTTTTTGAAGCGGCGAAATAGGGAGAGTGTGGAAAAAAGAGCTCTTAAGATACCATCAGAAAACAAGTCCTGCTTTTTAATTACCTGTTGGTCCTTAAAACTGGTTTCAGTGGCTTAGATAGCTGTACAGGTTCTGGGTTTGGTCTGTGCATTCTTAATATAGCTTCTGCTTTCCTTCACCAATGTTACTTTTTGGGTTTCAGTTCACAGAAATGATGTCTCTTGATATATCTGACAGTGCTCAAATCTATGCTGCGTTTGTGGTATACCTGGACCTCTTAGAAGGTAATTCAGTGATGTGACTGGATAGACATCTCAAGAAATGTGTTTGCCTTTAGGTGCTATTAAAGTTTCTGCACTAGCAGGACTTTTCCTACAAAGTCCTTGGTGTAGTTTTTGAAACTGAATGCAGTGACAGTTACCTAAGAACCAGATGGTATTTTGGTGCTGGAGATTTTTATCCTGTGCATTTACGAAGACGAGGGCCCTTTTTGTCCAGCAGTTACAGGTGCAGGCATTCCAGGGCAAAGACACTCAGCATGGAAAAAAAGCAAAAGAGGAGTAAGGGAAGGAGAAGGAACATAAAAAAGTGAAGTTACAAGTTCAGTGGTTGTGCTGATGATAGAATCCTCATTTGTAGATTAGTGTCAAAGTTACTAAATCATAGTATTTCGCTAAGGTTACTATTTAGCAGAAGGCTGATGTCTGCTGGCCTGATTAGGATGCTGCTTTCTGGAAAGGGCAAAGATCCCTATAGGAAAGAACATAATTTGGAAGTCTGGTGGTGATAATTATGACAAATGCAGTATAGTCTTCTGGTGTCTTGTAAGAGTGGAGCAGAGTTATGTGATATATAAACTTCTGCCTGCGATTCTTCCAAGTTGGCTTTATTTGAAAAGGGACTGAGCATAGGCAGGCAGCCAGCCTAATAAATGTTTCAGTTTCTCTTGGAGGCTGGTGGCTCTCAAGGTCAGGGAAGGGAGGGATTTTACAGGCCAGAAAGCACCCTCTCTGTAATTGTTACACGTCTGAAGAAAATGCCTTAATAGGCTTTAAGAGAAGGCTCCTGTAGTTCTGCAGCAAAAACTTTTAGCCTTATCCCTTCAAGTGGAAGGGAAGAACTGTGTGTTATCGCTAATCATGCTTTTAACACCTGCTCCTTCACAATTCAGGGTACTGATAAAGTCCAAATTTGGATTACAGTTTTATGCTGCACATGACTAAAGCTGCGTGTTTTTTATCTTCTTTTTGCCTTTTTGGAACAAAGCTTTGTCAGACAGGTCCCTGTTCACCATCAATCTGTGTAGCTCTGGAGTCAGCAGACTAGCACTACTCCTGTGGGTTTCTTTAACAGGATTGTTTTTCAGAAGGAGAACTTGACTGTTGAATGGGGTAGTTGTCTCTCATGGGAAATCTCCTGTGAGGAGAGGGAGGAAAAACAGAACCTTAGAGATTAACTGAAATACCAAATTTGATATTTGAATGATTAAAACTTGTGCTTTGTGTTTCTGGTCCTTCTCGTTGATGCTGAACCTTTCTAGGGAGAAACTGGCATGAAGTGAAGCATGTTGGAGTAGCAGAACTGCAACTTGTATGTTTACATGCACGTGAAAGAGAACAGGACAGTCTCCAAGTGATGGTGCCCGTACCTGTGCACATATCGTTAAGCCATGAGAGGTGAGGATATGGTCAGTGTTTGGCTCGCGTTACCAGTAAGATAAATGAAGAACAAACATATTTAACATGCTGTTGATGATTTGGTCAGGAGGGGAAGGAGGAGGAAACAAAAGGCGTATCAGAGGAAAGCAGTATCTCAGCCTATGAGCAGAACTATTTTGGGTGCTGCAAACATACATGTAAAGTTGAGATTTCTTTAATTTTCTGAGCTGCGTCAGTCTCTGCCTCTCCCTCTCTGAAAGTGGTACGCCTTTGATGTCAGCTTCCCACAGCAACTGACTTCTGCTGCTGATAAACACTTCGTATTGTTTAGAAGTTGCATATGCTCTAGGAGATAACAATCGATATCAAAGTATGTGTTTGAGACACAAGGTTAGAATACAAGACCTTCACAGCTTATGTTTTGAACATTCTTGTGTTGCTTTTTTGTAGTCTGGGAAATCTAGCAATACTTTTTATGTCACTGGGCTTTAAAGTGCCTAAGAGGAAAGAAATTCTCTCAGACTTGTCTAAGAATAAACTTTTTTTTTTTAAAACTGTCAAATCTGTGGATAAGGCTGGTGTGTTTGGTTTGCTTTGCTTTTTGTTTTGAAAGTATAATTTGGCTGCTTTCAACCAGAAATTCCTCTTACTTACCTGGAGTCTAACGTGTAACTGTCCCTTGAGCTGTGATTTTTGACTTGCTTTCCTTACACATGCAAGGCTAAGTAATTCTCAAGCAGAGGGCAACACAGCTATGACTTTGTGATACTACGGATATTTGCAGCCTAGAGAAATTCCGCTTTGGTAATTTTACAGTATATTTTAACTGGCCCTTAGAGCAACCTCAAACACACAGTAGGATTTACTCTCTGGTAATGGCTGCCTTCTCTTGCTGGTATTTGCCGTTCTTTCCTATGATGTCTCCGAAGACCTGAACTATTTCAGCTGCATCGTGTGGTAGTATATTTTTCAATTTCTTCTGTTCCTGCCCTTGCTAGGAGCGTGTGCTCAGGACTGGCTTTACAGATCTTGCTAGTGTTTGCTGTTTCCTCTTACTCTGTGGGCAGCAGCCTGACACAGTAGTAGGTAGCTAATGAATTGCACTGAGCAGACGTGTGTGTGTGTGCCGCTCTAGGAATGAGGTTTTAGACATGCTACGGTTTTTGCTTTTTTTTTTAAGTTTTAGAAATAGGTCAGTCTCTTGCACAGAGACTTCCATCTTAATTCTGCTGTGTTTTCCTAAGAGCGTATTTGTGAGGGGGAAGAAAACGACTTACTAGAAATCGAGGGATTTGAGTACTATCTACATGCTGAAAAAAACATTCCATTTGCAAATGTTGGTCAATCACTCCTGGGGCTTGGCCTTACAGAGCAGTACGGTGTGATCTCCACAACAGAGGAAAGCTGCTGAGAGGTCTTACCGGACGAAATGCTGAGCGTCATTCAGCCTGTCTGCAAGAAGCAGATCACTGTATGTGTGCGAAAGGGACCCACAGCTTTTCACAGTTCAAACTAGATTTTAGGTGGGAAAAAAAGGCAGCAAATTAGGATATGGGATCTTTGAGAAATTACACCTACGTGCTGAGTTGTTACACTTGTTTAATGCAGTAGGTTTCCACCTAGGTTGGAAACCTTGATTCCTGGCATTGGATCAATGCCAGGAAATATGTTCTAATTGACTTTTAATGACAGTGAGATATTGCACTGCATGTATGTCCTATCTTTTACTGTTTCACTGGAGCTTTTCATTTGGAGCCTCTGAACTTGTTTGTACTGTGGTGATACTGTTTGCTCTGCTTCTGGCACCAGTGCGGATGGAATCCATTACTGGAAGGATGTGTGCTAGAGAAGCAAAGAATGAATGCGTCACATTGATTAAAAGTACACTTTGTGACTAGGTTTTGCTACAGAGCAACTACATCGAGCATATTGTTACTAAAATGAGCTGAATACCGGGCTGTAATGCCGGATGAGTCCGTTAAAACCTTTAAGTGCTCGATACCCGTAGATATTGTCAGGCAGAAAGATCGTATATGCTTGTATTTGTGTTATTGAGCATTTATATGCGTGCTTGGCATTTCATCATCAGGTCACCACTGATCAGAGGGGCCTGGTCTGTCTTCATAGAGGAAGGACAGCATCTGACTCCTCAGTTCCTTTGCTGGAAGAGTGGGCAAAAACCAGGGGGTATAGACAATAACTGTAGCTCAAAGTTACATCACGAAGAGGGAGGCCATTAAAAAGACATCCGACAGAAGGAGTTACAAACAGTATTATGGTACTACTGCCTCTTTGTTCTGATGGTGATGAATATTTTGTTCTTGTGATTGTTGATAGCAGGAGGCTTGTTAGGTATCTGATGTCCTAAATTATATTTTCTCATTTGACTTCCCAAGCTATAGGTAGACAGGAAAGCTTTTGTACTTGGCTACTTTGCCTTTTTGTTCACAGCGATGCTTTGAGGTTTTGTGTTAACTGCTAAAAGTAGAGGAAGAGGTACAAGTAAATGCAGCTCATAATGTTGAAAGTAAGCCATTGGAGGGGGTTGGGAAGGTGAAAATGTTCTGTCCTCATTGTTGGGCCTGGAAATACACTGACTGCAAAAGCAGCAAGCAAATGGCAGCATTTATGGGCAGCATTTCCTTGCTTAACCAGTAAGGCCTGGGTAGGGGTTGCAGGGGTGGTTTTCCTCTCGAAGCCACTTCAGCCAAGCTCTGCCTTCCCAGTGTCTCATGAAGATTCCTTCTTGGTTGATACTCAGAGGAGAGTGTGTCCTTAAAAGGCCATAGTAAAGTTGCTCTGGAAATTACCAGCAAGACACCTAAGCAAATGATAGAGATGAGTGCCCTACAAAAAAAATCGGGTTGTTTTTTTTTTTTTTAGCCTATTATAAGATTTCATCGTGCCCAGTTTATGCACAACAGTTAACTGCTTAAGGTAAAAGCTGTTCTGCTTGCTAAGCTCACTGTCCACTTCTACAAACAGCTAGATGGAAGCTGATCATCCTGCCCTTCCAGTGTAAGGCTGCACAGTAACTCACTGAATCACAAATTTATGGAGTCTGGAGCAAAGTGACCACCAATGTAAACGGTAGTCTCATACAGTCCAAGAAGTGGCTTCGTGCTGTGCATGCATGCTCCTAAAATGAAGCTTGCTGAAACTTGCTCCTAAAATGAAGCTTGCTGAAACTTCTCTGAGTAAAGACCTTGGAGAATAAGATGCCTCTTCTGTCTGTCTTGAACCACTCTCTCAGCCCACACAGCTGGCTGAGGTTTGGAAAACTTTGTGTTTGTACGCTGTTGAATTTAGCAGCGATTCATACTTGGAGGAGGAATTCGTAGGTCCGTTGGCTGTTCAGTACTGCGGACGACACCTTAATGCACACCAAGCACCTAATTGTCAGTGCATCCCAGAATCGTGGCTCCCCAAAGGGGATGAAGCAGTTACGTACAGGAAGTCCTGCTTCAGAGCTGGCAGAAATGACTTGCGTAAACCAAGCTCAGCAAGTGTAGGAGAGCTCGCAGTGTTGACAGATGGATTTTCTAGATGGCATTGAAAGCCACGATTCTTCCAAGGACCAGGGAGTTAGATGCCAGATCTAATGGAATTATGCGCTATCTGTCCTAGACAAATAACATTGTCTAAGCAAAATGTTATTGGTAAACTGCCAGATTAAATGATATGTCACCACCCTGATTGTTTTTTGTATGCACGTGTGTCCTGGTTTGGCTAAAACAGGG